ATCCTTCTAACCTTTTCTATCTCTTCGAATGTGTTATTTTACCTTCTATCATATATCTTATTAGGATTCTAACATTATACAAAGAAATCCATTTTTTAAGGCTTATTGTTTTTTTTTTCTCCTCGGGGTGGATATTTTCTCCGATTTCCAATTTTCGAGAAAAGCAAAATCTCGCGTGCCCGGTCCTCGTCCGTTTCCGATCGATCGACGGATCGATGGATCGATCAATCCCCCCTAGTGGGATAATAGGGAGTAGACGGAGAAGTAAGGTGCAGAGGCTAACGATCTCTTGGCATGTCTGCGCATCTTTTTATCCCGTAATGCCCGGATGCCTCTTCTCTCTTTCTCTCTTTCTCTTTGGCCTACTTGGTCGGATCTTACGATCGAGCTATCGTGAGGCAACCGCGTTCCGATCTTTAAGTCGACTCGGCCTCTCGAAGCCGTCGATTTGAATAAATCCCCGTAAAATGGTACGATCTGACGTAAAGCATTCCGGATAAAATTCCCCCATAATTTTCCCCCAAACTGGCACCAAAGTACTCGTGCAATCCCTTCAATTACCCTTGTGCAAGAGACGTGCATCGAAAGCGGAGTCGATATCCGGGAAATGGAATTATTTTCCCTTAATCGATCGCAAAGTCGTCGATTTTAGTATACGTCATCGCGGAATGATCCATTCCGATTTTTTTAATCGATCGTGATAAATCATCGCCGAATGATTAAATCTGTAATGCGTGTCGAGTTACGATTTAATTGAAAAATCTCCATTAGCGTCAATGTCGGGAATATTCTTGAGCAACCAGAAGGAATTTTGCAGGTTACGTAAAAAAATAATTTACAGGAGGAAGAAAATGCTGACGGAAGTGTGCGATTATTTATCCACTTGTTGCTCAACTCCACATTACCTCATTCGCTGCGATCGAAACGATTAAAAAAGTCGGGAAATAACAAATCCCAATCAACACACGCCAGATTTGGCCTGATTTCCTCAGAACTTACGAAAATCCGTGAATAAAAAAATGCGGCAGAATTTAATAATTAATTTTAACGGGATCATTCATTTATTGTTAATTTTTTTTTTTTCCATGATCAGCTATCAACGATTGACTTTTGCAGCCGGTCGAAAATATGCACGAGAGGAGAACGAAGAAGGGAAGTGGAGGAGAAGGCGAGGAGATACCGTAAGACTCGAGGTCGGCGCCCGGCAAGGTCGGGCGAGCAATCCCGCGTGCCGATTGGACGATCCAGGGGAATGGAGCCCTCCTATTGGCGGAGACCCCGGCTCCAACGGAAAGGAGTACCTACGCTCGTAAATCGGAGAAAAACCGAGACGTGTGCGAATGGCCACGTGGACGCGACCTCTCGGACCTCGGAATTAACTTCGGAATTTGTCGACGTGGTAGCTTCTTCACTTATCCAGTAAATTCACGTGGACAACCGATGAGACTTTCTAACGCCACTTTTTTTTTTTTTTTTTTAAATTATTCGAAACGACCAACGCTAACCTCAATGTCTTTGGCATTCACTCATTACTCTTGAAAGCTCGATAACGATCGAGCGAGGCGATAAACGTCGAAAGCGCGATAAGTCGAATCAAACGGGCTTCAGTTATAACGAGAATCGTGGAAATCGTGGAAATCGTGGAAATCGCGGAAATCGCGGAAATCACGGGTAAAGCGTTGCTGGAAAAGCCGACTCGCGCTTTAACTTTTCTCACCCGCTCTTTTTCCGCCCCCCGCGAGTTCATCCGGCAACGGATAAACTTTTTCCGCCCACCTCACCCCTCTCCCTCGGGAAACCCTCGTCGAAGCCCTCGGGAAGACCGGAAGGCGCAATTGGCCCCCGCGGAATCCAGGATTAACGATATCCCGCGGGCATAGGTTGCGATTTTCCTTCGTTTTTTCCCCACTTCTTCCTTTCCCTCTACACGAGGGGGGGAAAAAAAAAAATTAGGGGGGGAAACAAGTAAAATCGAAGGAAAGAAACGGAAGATCGACCCCTCCCCTCCTTCGGTCGTTCATAAATATTCATACGGGATTCTCTGGCCCGGGGAAATATTCGTTTTCGGGGACGGCATGAGATTCCGGCGGTAGAGAAAAAAAAAGAAATTAAAAAAATCATCGCGAAAAATTATACAGGGTGGCTCAGAATTTTCTCCGACTCTCGTTGGAGTGCAGGAAGAATTGCTGAAATACAAAAAAAAAAAGCAAGAGCCCGAAATCCCTATCTCATTTAATTCATATTACCCAAAGTTGTTGAGAAGGAGACACAGCAATATTTCGTTGCGTCCCAATTTTTTAATGTTACATTTTTCCGATAGTTGCATCGAAGTGAAGAGAAAGTTTATGAAAAATGAAAACAATAGAAAAAAATCAGGAATTTTAGTCATGATCAATTTTCCCTCATCCGAAAGAGTCGATGTCAAACGATCGCGTACGACATAGATGCAGTAAAGTAATTTATATCAATGCGTTTGGAGTCTTATCACGAACAGGTAAAGTCTATGGAGTCTGCGGATGATAAGAAATGACAAGCTCGCAACAATTTAGCGAGCTCTACGGGGAACAAAACGACGTATCATACCGAGGGGACACGCGATAGGTCTTGCGCGTATGCAATGACACGTGAGACCAGGCCGGTGTCCGTTTACGCATTACGTCGGCAGGTGGCGGCGCGTGCAGCGCCCCTGATAACGCGATACGCCGTGATAAGCCGAGCCTTCGGCCCATAAACCGCGGATTACGAGCGGATCCTCCGCGATAAGTCCGCGAATCATCGGCGATTCCGGCCCGATCGTCGTTACTGCCTCGTTTGGCGGAAATCGCGAACAATGCCGCAAAGCCCGTAAAGTACTTGGCGCGTGACTCTACCGCGGAGAGAAGTAACGAGCACATCCATGTATTCGTTGCAGGGAATTATTTCGAATGAAGATAAAGGTGGGTATTTTACGTTTCATGAAAAAAATTCTTATCATTTCATTAGCAATGTGTACTTGGCGCGAGACTCTATCGAACACATTAAAGGGGAGGGAGATATGGAGGGTACCCCGGTGAAAATGTCAATCTTTCTTTCTTCGGTAGTAGGGAAGCTCTTACCCCGGATATAGTGGAGGAGATATTAAAAATTAATCCCTCTCGGAGCGGCCAATTTAGGGGCGCCGACACCGCAAGGAGAAGAGGACCCATTAGCGGCCGTTAAGACGAAACGGAAACAAAAAGTCGAGCGAAAGAAAGAAAGAGAAAAAAAAAAATGAATTAACGAATCTCTTAAGCGGCGCTTCAAAGGCGAAGTCGCCGAAATAAGTTTCGCCATGGCGAACAATACCCCGCGAACTCCAAAATTCGACGGATCCAATTTTGCAGACATTTTCAATTCTCAAGGATTTCTGAGTTTCCACAATTTTTTTTTTCTACAATTTTCAACGACTTTAAAATGAATTTAATAATTTTCTTCCCGTTTATGAAAGAGAGAGAGAGAGAGTGCTGGAAGTTAAGACAAAGTTATTGTTACAAAGACCGAGTACTTTTCCTTGTCGACCCCGAAATAGGGTATGCAAATAGACACCCCTTGTACCTACAAGACATTATGCTAATATCCGACGAGTTAGACAATGTTCACCCCCCCCCTTCCTCCGGAATCGGAAATGTAACGAGGTAATCGAATTATCGCGTCACGGGAGAATTTCGGTCAAGTCCCACGTGGGGAAAGCGGCATAATCGCGTAATTACTCGGCATCCATTCACATGAGGCCCCCTGTCAATTGACAATACCCTAACGACGGTCTCTGATGACAGTCTGCCAAACGGCGACCCATGGTCGTCATCGATTTTCCCCATAACCGAAGGAAGAAAGGAGAGACCGACTGCTCCATTGAAACGACCCGTTAAATAGAAATAATTTCGATAATTAATTAATACCTTACTTTCAAGGCGTACTTAGAATGTAAGCCGTAAAGCAGATTTCCCGCAATCCTGTCCTGCAAACGGTGGAAAAAAAAAGGGATCGAAAATCCGAACCCATCGCACCCCTTAAGCACCGTCTGCTTTCTCCCGAGGGAAGAAAAGGAAGAAAGGGAAGAAAGGTACACCCCCAAGCGATATAAAGGAAATTATCTCCTATCTCGACATCCATGAGGTCGAATAAAGGAAGAAGGGGGTGAATTTCCTTCCCCGGAGCTTTACGAAATGTCCACTATCACGTCTTATCGCGCCCTATCCCTCGGTACCCCCGAAAATGCCCAGAAAACGTGCCACCGAAAATCCACCGAGATAAGGGAAAGAGAAGTAATTATCGAATTTTAACGGGATCCTCAATTATAGAGAATCCTAACTAACAATTCCAAAAGTTAAATGAATAAATAGAATCCGAGCCAACCCCATCCCCGAAAATGGTCCCGATCGAACTTTGAGAGGAAACGAAGATAAAAAAAATCCAACCGACAGAAGAAATTAAATTAAAAAAAAATTAGAAAAAGAAAAAGAAATGGAAAAGCAGTCCCGATAGGAACTTCCGGAGGGAGGAAAGGGGAATGGGGTTGCACCCCGATGACGGGGAAAATTATCGTCCCTCGCGACATTTATGGGGTCGGATAAAAAAGGGTCGGGGTGCGAAATGCTTATTATCGTCGGGGTTTTCACCCCCTGGAGTACGTAACGAGGGGTTGCGTCCGATCGCCGATAGACTAATAAGATTATTTTCCACCTAATAATTTATCACCCCCCCCCTCGTCCCCCCATACCGGCCACTTCCGAGGTGCGAGCTAATTTCCCGGGGACGCGCCTAAATATCGACAAATTCCGCGGTCACCCAACCCCCTCGGGGCTCTGACCCCCGATTTACCCCTTTTCCTCCCCAATCTGCGTGTTTGCATACCGGGCTCACTTTACTTCGGTGCGCAATTACGCGGCGAAAATCACCGAGTACAAAATAGAGATGATTGAGGCGGTCATAAAAGAAATACGAAGGACAGGGAAGAAAAACTTGTTGGATCGTTTCTGTACCTTGTAGATGCCATCGACGAGCCGCGTGAGCTCTTCGGTCTCCATTTTGATAAGATCTCCTTGCTGACTTCCTTATCAAAAAAAGTCCTCAAAAGACCGTCATACTCGAGACCGCACTCAACTCCCGACTCCTGAAACGAAAATTACTTTCAAGAGCACCGACAGAAAGAGAAATACATAAAGTCCCCGAAATTCCCAAAACAAACTCGAGGGCAGTAAGACAAGTACCGGTGACGCGTAATTATTCCCTCCGCAGAGATGAATAAAGCGATGTAAGATAAGACCGAAAAATTGAAATTGTAAATACGGAGTCGAATTCTAAAGGGAAGAGGACTTCCAGGATTCCAGACAGGGATATTCCGATCCCAAAGTCATCTGACTTGCATACAAGATTATGCAGAATTTCTGCATAAGGAATTCGGGAATTCTTGCAGTGGCCCCCCGATAATTCGTAAAAATTCGGGGCACGTGTTTGGGTATGTACAATGGAGATAAAGTGAGAGAGGTACTCAGTAATCACGCGTACGTGACACGTCGAATGAAGACAGGATTAAATTTAAACGACGATCATCCTTGCGCGGTTATCAATAATAGCATGTTATGAAAAATTGCATCGCACATAATAAAAATTAATTGTCCACATCATCCATTCGTTGGAAAACGAGTAATTCCCTAGACAACAACGTTGACGAGACTTTCCCACGAGTAATCTCAAGTGCACATCTCATTATTCCGTCATCGCTCCAAAACGGATCATCGTCATTCTCGGGGCGACGCAGCAGCGGCACTGCGCAGCTCTGCATATGCAGCGCGAATGCATCTCGAATGCATCTCGAGAGGTCGCAGGCTCCTCGGGTACTTTCATTCCGCAAGGACACCCGGTACCCGCGGCTCGGTGCGGAAAATAAAAGGAGCGCATAGCTCGGCGCACCGCACGTTTCGTTATTCATCCAAAGGCCCCGCTCCGAGGAGAATTCCGCGCAGGGTGCGCAGTTACTTTCAAAATCGCATAAGAAAAGGGGAAAAAAAGTGAGCGAGGCCCCTGGGAACCGGAGAGCAATCCGGGAAAAGGCGGATCCTTGTTCGAGGACTCGCAAGGACTCGACGTACATCATCGAAATGCTCCCTTAAATCGTCCGGTTGACGTTCCGTCGGAATTACGAGAATACGAGGACGGTAAATGGAACTGATAAGTGATAAGAGCGATTTTTGATCAGCCAACGGAGTATCAGTCGTTTATGGGAAAAAAAAAATATCATATGTAATAACTGCACCCAGGTTAAGTACGAGTGATAAGAGTAATAACCTATCAGCCGCTATCACGAAAAAGTGTAATCTACAGTGACCTGAAATATCGACGACTCGGTTACGACTTCTCCGATCGCAAAACGCTAACTTTCGATTTTTAACGCCACTAATTGGAGAATTTCCCGAAGGGGGGAAGTCTAGTACGCGTAATTAGCGGTAATCGATAACAATCGAGGTCGTGAAGTCGCGGTGTTAACGAGCTTAGAATCGAGATTTAACCCCGAGTTAACCCGTTCTTTTAACCAGAGTTTTAGCAGATTTCCAAGCCCGAACTTTTTACCTCATCGCATAAAAGAGATCGATATAGGATGAACGGGGAATCGGAAAGAGAAGAAGATATACGAGAAAGTCGCCAGGAGAGGCGTAAAAAAACAGGACGATGGAAGGACTAACGAATGAAAAAGGAAAAACCGGGAGGGACGGGGCGGAAGAGAAGGACAATAGAGAGAGGCGTGAGAATTGAGATCGAAGCGATCGGATGAGAAGCGGACCCAAGAGCGTGCAGGAATGTCGTCCTGCTTTTCTAACGGGAATTCTCTCTCCTCCGGGAGTCCTGCGGGAGGGGAGCGGCTCGCCGCATGCGGCCCGCCGTTGCCGCACGCGGGGCACCGTAGCGGGACCTCCGAATTCGTTCGAAATTCCGATGAATCTCCATTTTTTTTTTTCCGATTCTCTTCATCGTGTCCTATCCAATTTCGACGGATTTCTTCATTTTCAAGGTATAGTAATTATTAAACTAGAGCAATTATCGCGAGAACATCGAAAAGTAAATACATCAACGTGTTAAAAGAGATAGTCCCAAAAAACATCAGGATGATAAAGAAACGTGGATCGGAACTCTTAAAGCACGATCTCACGTGGAGAATGAATAAAAAAGAAAGTTTCAATTTCTAGAGGAAATATTTAAAAAAAAAAAATAAACATGGGATCAAGAAACAACGTAGTCGAGTTTTCGCGAGGAAAGTCGACGGAATGTTACTTTTTTATTTATTCCTATCCAAGAGGACAAGTCGTGCCAGACTTTCTCTCCGGTTCGAGAAGATTAGAGACCTCTCTTCCTGGGATGCATCCGTGCGGCGCGTTTCTCCGCGCCGCAAGCGGCCGCGGCCGCATGCGGTCGGGACGCCGCGCAGAAAGGGAGGCGATTAATTAATTTCACGGGAGAGCCTGCAACCGACAGGGAATTGACTTCTCCGTTTTCGGGGACAAAACGGGACACTTTCGGTAGGAATATTGAAACGGGGAGGGAAGGGAATAAAATAAGAAATAAAAAAAGAAAGACCGGTCCAGGGGATAAATAAACAAATAAATAAATCGTAAAATGGAAAGAGGCGCCGCCCGGGCTTTGACTGGGGGGAAAAGCGCGGAAAATGCGGGGAAAATGTAAATGTCAAGGTAGGCGGAAATTGTAATGAGAGAGGGCAAAGAGGCTTTTTGCAAATGCACCTGACGCCCGAGGAAACCGCAATTCGTCGTAACCCGCGGAATTTACGCCTCGGTGAGGAAATTGTTCGAAAGCGAACAAATCTATACATATATATGTATGCAGATGTACATACATGTGTAGAGAGAGAAAGGCGAGATCTTAGATGACCGATGGCGTTAACGCGTTTTCACTGGACGTGAATTTAAACGGCAACGTGAAGCACTTACGAAAGTTAAAAGTAAAAAATTGTATGATAAGGGTTACGAAGGGAATGAGATAAGATCTACGACATGTCCGCCTCTTTGAAATATTCATTCCTCGATATCGCGTCCGGTCTCTGCGATGGCTATTGCAAAATTCATAAACACCTAATAAATGGCCATCGAACGTGCCAAACTTTGCCCGCGGTATTTGCGCGTCCACCTGTGCCGCATGCGGTCGTAATGCGGGGCCGCACTTCCAAGCAATATGTAACCAACATGTCAGTCGATATATTATGCAATGTCGAAAATAAGACCAGCAATATATCAACCTCCTAAATGAGATAGCTAAAAGTGATCAATTTCCGTACAAATTTCTATATGAATAACACATGTTAATATATCATTAACACCTACACGTATATCTACGTGAGTATGTACACGAGTATGAATGAAAACGTGTGCGTATATGTGCGCACGGAAATAAAAACCCACAAACTGAATACGTTTCAACGCCCCACACACACGTAACGAGGATGCCGAAAAACTAATGTGTGCGTCTGCAAATATGGATCTATAAATGCGTTTCAATACAAATACCCGGAAATATGTGTGTGTGTGTACGTGAATGCACGCATGACCGTCCAACTCCACCGACACACATTCAAGTGTACGAGTGCCCTGGACGCAGTACACCCACAAATACTCATCTCGACGTCCACGTACACCTGTCCGCGAGTGTGTACACTTCCCCTCTCTCTCATTGTTCCGCCTATGCGGAGGAAACGCTCTCGCGGTTTCGAAAGCCTCGCGGTCTGGAATTTTCCGGCAGTTGTCCGAGGTCAGGACCGAAGGCAACTGTGCGGGACGGAAAATGCCGATTTTTCGCGCGAGAGAGGGTGGGTGGAGGATTTTGGCTCGTCACCTGGATGCGCCCCAGGATTTCCGGGGAAATGGCCGGTCCCCGTGTCCTGTCGGTAGCAGGACACGGACGGAATTAATCGACGTCGTTTCTCCGTGAATTTTCCCTCCCCTCCCCCCTTGTGTGGGCACGGGGCTCCATTAGGGCACAGGTGGACGTCGACTTTGCCACCTCCGGTGTGCCCATTTGTTAGGGACAGGTGGATTTCCCCCCCCGCGAGTCCGACCGAGAGGGGGGGGATCAGGGGATGAATAATTTAATCGGTGGGTGTACACCGATTACACCGGGACAAGGTATGACTCACGAGTCATACTTTGACTCGGTGAACACGAGGGATAGCGGCGAAAATGATGGGAAAACATTCGCAAATTCGCATTTTCACGCTCGGGTCTCCCCCCCTTACACCTCCGCGGATAAACTTACGCGTGTTCACGCACTGACGATTCCACACACACACATACACACGTGCGCACATAGAAGAGAGGGGAGTGCCTCGAGAGACGGCGAAGGAGAGAAAGGAAAGGAAGGAATGCGAGGAACGCGGAATTCCCGTCAGGGGGAAGAAAATTATCCGGGAGACCTCTAAGAGCGAGACGGAAGGAGGACTCCGCGATATTTTGCGTTTTCCGATTTTTTTTTTTCTTTTTTTTTCTTTTCACACTATCTGCTATTTTTATGATTCTTGGGAGTTTCGCAACTTTTACAATTTTCCTGGATTTTCGCGACTTCGCGAAAAACTGAAAATCCGGCACGTGCCACGAACAAGTGCCCGCGGATAAATAAATACTCCCGGGATAAAGCGATCAAATAGATTACCGACAAAAAAAAAAAAGGTACACCCAACAAATGAAGAGAAATTTATCAACGCCCCGAAATGAAATTCCGTTATCGGAATAACCGGTAATGATTTTCCCCGCGGCAGGTACGGGGGGGGGGGGGGGAGGGAAAAATGTGCACAACCCGTGATAATAAATGCAAAAGATACCGGCGATAATAATGGGAGGAATAACTCTTCCCCGCCGTAAAGCTCCGCGTTAATGAGACCCACGGATGATAAGATCGGCGGATAATTAACGTCACGAAGCCAAGTGCTATCCCTGGCCTTTAACGTATAGACGGTACTCGATTTAACGTCTCGTTGCTCTTTAACTAGAAAAAGGAAAATTCAGGTGATCGCATAAAAATCCGCAGAGAACGTAACGAACCGCACTTTCGAGAAATTAATCGAAATCCCGCCAAACGTGGCAAAAAAAGAAATATTAAAAAATTCGATTCGCCCGACCAAACTGTTTCCCAAAATCACCCGAACGAAGTCGATTAAAACGATTTCGTTAAACGAAGGAGAACCATTTTTCCTCTTTCCTCCGCGTACCGTGTATTAGGTAACGCAAGAGTGCCGCAAGCGGCCGGCCGCACCCGGTGCTCGCGGATTACGCAAATCCGCGGCGACCTCTCCGCAGGCTGTTCGGAGAGTTCGACGCCGGTACGGAACGGCCGTTCCCAAATCCGCGCGTTTCCCTCTCACCGATCGGCGTTATCCCGCCTCCCGAATTATCGCCACTTTAATTGTAATCACAATAAAATCCATCGGCAACCTCGGCCGGGCCCCTTATCGTTATCTCGCGGGTCTCGCCCCCCCCCCCCCCCCCACGGGGGGGGAAATAAAAAAGCGCGAAACGGGCCGGCCGTTATGGGACATATATATGCGCGTAATTGCGGAAGTCGGCATCGATGGCGAATTATCGAGCACCGAGCCGTTAGATACCGGCCTTGCAGAAATTTCGTGTTAACGTTGTATAACGCCGTATATGCCGTATATGCCGTATATGCCGTATATGCCGTATATGCCGTACAACGCCGTATATGCCGTATATGCCGTATATGCCGTACAACGCCGTATAACGCCGTATATAATAAGGACGGCCAAAAGAGATGAATTTCCTCGCCGAGTAATTTTCTTTCCCGGAGTTTCACGGTCGCTTTCACTTTTCCCACCGGAATCCTAAATTCCTACATTACGCCTAAAGTGCGATAACAGTTCAACGACCCATTACAAAATATCCTTAACCTTGAATATTCCCCTAATGGAAAAAGAAAATTCCAGATCCCAAATGGGAACCTTTCGTATCAGGCGAACATTCTCCCAACGCGTTTCCAGTGATTTACATAAATGATAATTACGATGAGACGTAACGTAGGGTGATAAGTCGAATGAAATGCATTAACCCGGATGATAAGTGCGATGAAATTACACACGTTGAAAGCGCAATAAGCGCGACGCAGTAACCGGTCGTTCCTCCGTGCGTAAGATTCGCGTATAATTTCCGCGTAGGAAATATTTCGAAAATGTGCCCCTTGTCCCGCCAGGAAATGATTCCGTCATAGAAAGGGTTAATCAAAGCACCGGCCCCTGGGCACGAAAGGGATCCCCTCTATCCTACGGGAGTCCCTCGAGTTCCTGCTCGAAGTGCGGAAAGAATTGCCCCGGGGATGTTGCACGTCTAATTAAATGGACTAATTTCATTCGTTCTCGCCCCGAGTACGCGTAAGCTTGCTCTCGCTCAGGGGTTAAGTAATTGGACAAGAGTACGAGCCAATTACTCCGAATTTCATGGGGAAAAACGCGAGCGTGTCGAACCAGCTCACAACGGGGTAAAAAAATGAAAAATAAAAAAATTACAACAGATTCGACAATAAAAAAAAAAATCATACTTCTTACGATTCATTTTGACGAATTTTCAGAGATCACTTTTAAATTGAGTTTCACTTGAAATGCCGACATTCCGAGGAAAATCCACGGCGACGTGAAAGGGTGAAAATTGTTCGCAAATGGCGCACGATTATAAATCATTCCAATCGCCGTATCGCAATAATTGCACAACCTCTCGGCAAAGTCGAACAATAATCGATCTCACGTACCCGAGAAATCTCTCGATAATCCGATACCCGAGACCCGATTACCTGGTCTTGCGCCACCGAGGTAATGAAATCACCGACAAACCTTAATTACACCCGGAAGTAAATTCTATTTCGAAATTTCCACCACTCCCCCCGAGTAGGAATTAACTACTAATAGTAATAACGTAAACGTAAATATTCTCAAAGCTAAACTTGTTTATAAATACGGTTTTCACATTCTGTTAAAAATGCGAAATTAATACCGTGAGAAATAAAAAAAGTTCCATGGAACCGAAGAAATATCTCGTTCGTTCAATTAACATAAATGAACTCAAGTGAAGCTTACAAAAAATACCTACATGACATTGTTCAATTTTATTTACCTGGATTTATCTTTCGCGCTCCTCCAGGCGCGCGACCTCGGAGACGAGACCGCCTATGGAAGGCCGGAATGCAAATTTGTAAACAAACGCCCGGAAGAGGTGCGCAGGATTTTTCGTTTCTTCACTGAGAAGTCACAGGGGAATAGAGACAACACCACTGCCGCGTAACCACTGCGTAACGGGGCGCCTCGGGAGAGGCGAGCGTAAGACGACCGTCCGTGGCGACGCGCGCGAAGCGACTGACGCGCCGGCCGCGGCCGCGAGCTCGCCGACCCTCGAGCGCTATCGCTCGAGAGATCGAACTCGATCGAGAGATCGAACTCGATCGAGAAAAGTCAGTTTCGTCCCTTCGTGTTAAATAAACGTTATAAACTTATTAATTAAAAAGAGATTAAAAAGAAACAAGTATTACAGAATGATTTTCTCTCGTTACGACATACGCGGACTAAATTTCTCAAGCAAAGAGAAAATGTTTAATAACAAGAAGAACTCCTGGTAGCGTTGTCAAATGTTTCAATTTGATGAATTATGTAGATCGCTTTATTTATACGTACCATGTAAAGTGTTTCATTGGTATGTATTATGTAAACCATTTCATTTGCGGAAGTTACTTCGCCACGTTTTCTACGGATTTCAGGATTATGTCATTTCTCAGGCTGCCCCAGATATGAAAGGGAAAAAAAAATCATAATAGCCCGTGACATTGACATGAAAGTGCCGTATTCATACCGCGTGGGAATAAAGGAGACGAACCACTTTTGTCATTTCAAAAGGACCGGTCGAGGTTCTCTATTAAGTTTCAACGACCTGTAAATCCTAGTTGTACTTCCTAGCTGGGAAAGTGCCACTTTCTGACTGGCAACCCCCAATTTTATTATTTACTTTCAATCAAGAAATGCCCTTCAATTTTTTAATCAATCTCTATTCTCATCTGTAATAAACGCGCCCGATTTACTAGCGTATCTTTGTAAGCAATGTTCTCATTTAAATATTCTTTAGTGCATCTTTATAACAAAATGCAGCCCGGTTATCTCTACGACCAAAAATCACTTATCTGAGCTGCAATAAAAAAATATATTTAAAAAGTAGTAATTCTTTTTAATATTGAACAAAATCAGAGAATCGATATACCACATCTAACGAGATGTGCCTCCCACGTGTACTTATTGTTAGTGCAGCGTAATTGTTGCACTTGTTTCCCGGCAGAAACACGGCATTCGTGCAGCTGGGCTTTCAGTCGATAAATCTCGACTCGTTGGCTGCTCTTCTTTCCGAAACACCCCCGGTGGCCATCGTGGGGCTATTTCACCCCTTCGGTCCTTCACTGTGGACGAAACGAGACCTCGTAAAATACGAACGCGGCCCTCCCCCACCTGATAATTGGATTTACGGATCCATTCGTCGAATCGTCCTTTATTAAAAACTCGGCTCCCACGAGTTTGCACCAATCACGTCTCCATTGCGATCTCCGAGCCCTCCTTTTTCCTCCCCACGGATTTTACGAAATCGCCCTACAAATTTCCTCCCCGGGGAGAAATTAAATCTCGAACGTTTTCATTGAGAAATTCTGCTAAGTCAATTTCCTATAATTGACGTTCCCTAGAAAATGCCTCATCACATTTACATTTCTATGAAATTACATCGCTATAATCCCTTACTCCATATATATATATCCATGAGTTCCATGTATAACTTAACATTTTCTTATAAACAAATTAATAAGCAGGAAATAAAATCGTCGTTCAAGTGGGTAGGAATAATAAAAAAATCTCGAAACCCGCGAATCTTCACATTTCTCCATCCACTTTCCGACTTCCGCAAACCCCGAAATAATTCCTAACACTTCAAAGTTCGAATTTCTATAATGTTTTGTTTAACCTCTCGACCGTGTTAAAAATAAATCCCGGCCCGAGTAATTTCCCGAATATTTAAACTGGCGGAAATTTCTCCGCTTTTGCGCGATAATAGGCTGAAAACGTTTGCGCAAATTGGGGGAGAAATTAGATCCGGATATTTTTTTATTCCCACGGACGTTTATTCCATACGAGAAGTTTGTGGGGCAGAAGTTGTTGCTCCGACCGTTTGTGGTACGGACTTGTAAATAGCGTAATGAATTAACTCCAATTCCGGACTTTCCTCGAATTTCCGGCCACCAGGGAGCAGACCTAGTTTTCATGCTCGACATTGTAATATAGAGTGTTCTCCACGCATGTCGAGGAGAAGCCAGTTATTCCCTCGGAATCATCTAAAATCTACATATTATTGCGTCTGGTCGCCCACGCCGAACGGAATTAACATGTTTCGAGACATCTGTCCACCCCAATTCGAAATCAAGCAAAATTCACCCATCTATGAGTCCCCCAACACATAAGTAAAAATAAACCAGAGAAAACATGAAAAAATTAAAAAATAATTAATTTAATTTTTGCGAAATGCGAAAAAGAAGCTGGCTAGCGAAAATACCTTCGTGTCTATTTTCCATACACCAATTAATAAAAATAAACCTAAAATACACGTATACGTGTAATTAGTAGGTAAGGACGGTTCACGATCAGTCACGTTTAAATTTCAGACTTGTCATGTACTCGAAAATGAATTCGGATTAAACTACACAGAATCAGAAGAGAAGAGAGAAAATAAATCGCGAGAAAGGACAAGAAGCCAAAACGACGTGGAGCGTCGAAGAGACAGAATAAAGCAAAACGACAAAAGGGCAACATAAGAAGACAAAGGATGAAAACAACACGAGAAGACAAAAAGCCAACGAGCCAACTAGACTCTCCTCCGCCATAAAATTGTCTGCTGAATAAAATATCGCATTTTTATCACCGACTTCTCAATCCTCCCCGATTCGTCCACTCGATCCTTTGAGAGACACCTCCCGCGGAGATTGCATTTCCGATCCCCGTTTCTACCATAACAACCGCCGATATCGAAAAATCATTCAGACAAAAGATCACGGACACGAAGTCCTTTGCAACTTTCCTCTAAGACATTTTTTCCTATCTTGCCCGGTTTCCGCGAAAACTCGAAGCGAAGCGGCGATAAACTCGGGGACGTGGAATTACGACTTCGGCGCGATGTAACGTAGAAGTACGGAGTGTACGTATCGCCGTATCGCAATACATCTCACTGTGCATAAATGTCGGCGTAAAATTGACGACAAGTGAATTTTACAACTGCGTAATATCACCAGTACAAAGTTCTGCTCGTGAAAATTGTGTTCCATCTCGAGGAATGAATCAGCCACCCAAATTCGTTGCGATACCCCATCTAATAATATTTAATATTAATTACAAGATACATTAGTAACTTTGAAATAAAGTTTAAATCCCCGGAAAAAGTCGAAAATAATTTTCCCGCAGGTGATTCTTGTTCGCGCGCGACTCGGATCCGCCGCTATCGCTATCAGTGAACGCGCACGAGTCGACCCCCCGCGAACTTGCCCACCCTCTCTATATCGAACGTTACATCTTCCGGGTGTGTTGCCAACTTCATCCCGTATGGCCATGACGGCTCTCGTGATGGATACCCCCGCCCCCGGCATCGGCACAATATTTCACGCCTTATTTATTTTTCATCGCGCGACCGTTCGCGCCCCCGCCACCGAAAAATGGATAATAAAAAATCTAGCAGATGACGCGCCGTCCGGGTGGAAATAAAAAACGGGGCGACATCTGTATTTGGTTTATTGCCCGGTTAAACGACGGCTCGCGCTATCGCCGGATTAACTCCCGAATTGAATCCAGCTCCTCGCCCAAACGGTTCGCAACATCGAAAAACACCTCGGACAATTGTTGTCCCGAATCCTACGGGGAATAAGTTTTGTAGGGGGTATTTTCCCGTGGGATGCGCAGATTACGAGAGAAATTCGACTTTTTACGAATGGGAGTCAAGAGCGACGCCGCCATTGGCCGGCGATTTTCGAACGAGCGGATTAACGCCGCGGTGGAAGATGTCATTTTAAGAAAATATTTTGCAAATGTCTCCCGTGGCATGACATCGTCGTTACACCTCGTAAATTACTATTAGCAATTGATAACAATCGCCAACGCAAATGTGTTCAGGCTCGGAAGACATTCTTAAGGAAGAAGAGGGAAAGAGCGTAGCAAAAATGTCCCTTCCACGAGAATTTCACCGGAGGATATTTTTATCGGCGATTCTTTCTCGCTCTTTTTCTAAGGCTCGCTCCTGCATTCTAGATTCGCAAGGTCGACCGGATTCCTCGATGACAGAAATCGGTGACAGTCAACGGCGACCGGTAATGGTGGGGTTTACCTCAGAAGGCCATAACAGCACGCAAATGGCGGTATAATAAATGAGAGATACGACCAAGACCTAACATCGAATCCCCTTCATGCATATTCCGCAGATTAAATCGCCATTAAACCGTTTGCCCGAATTCCGCCGATTTTCGCATTAAATGCCCGCTGTGGATTCTTCGACGTGTCTCCAAATTTCCCTGACGTTTCCTTCTAGTTCCCGACTTCGAAGGGAATTTTTCCTGAATTTCCTATTATACCCACTATCTCTCAATTAATTACCGTCAATCATATTCTTACATTTCTGATAATTAAATCGTCAAACGAGGTGCTGGACATGCTAGGTGTGAAATGCACTTCAAAAAGCTCCTTAAAATTCGGAAAATTTCCCAAACAAATCCTGTTTCCCCCTGGACAAAAATTTCTTCGCGAGCAGACTGTCGCGTAAAGCCAAAGTGATTGAAGAAATTAATCGAAATAAAGATTCGCGACTCACCTATGACGAGGTGCGGCCACGCGTGGGCGAAGACGCGAAAGTCGCGACATTTTGCCGCACCTTGTGATCCTAAGCATTCGAAAAATCTCCGTGAAACGCGCACAGGTGACCCGCTCTAACAATGAGAAAAAAAAACAAATAAAAAAGCGTAGCCAATAATTTAGCAACAATTCGAGAGTACATTACTTATCCAATATTTCTTAACAATTCGCGATTCCCTCCTACGTTACCAAATCGACGGTAGAAATCGGCCCACCCGAGATTATGCACCGTGATTTCGGATGCACCATTTGGATGCATTTCGCCGCATTCGGTTCCGTATCGTTTGCGGTACATGGAAACGCGTATGCAAAGGACGCCATAAAAGAGTAAAAGCGAACAGAGAGAATCCACCGCGAGGTCTCTCCGTCCTTTTCTCTCCCCTTCCTGGCAGAATTCCAGGAGGCTATCTCTCTCCCTGTTCCTTCCATTTTTTCCCCAGCATTCCTGGCGAGCCTCTTTTCGCGATTTCCCCGAGAAAAACAAAGACCCCGGTCTCTCCCCGTCTAAACCGCGCGCGGTGATTCCGTCGCCGTTAATGTCGCGCAAATTTTAAAGCATCGCCGAGCAAACGCATCCTGCCGGTAATTTCCCCGGGGAAAGGGTGGAAAACCCTCCGACGTACAAACACGACACGAGGGATGGAACCGAAAATCTAATTCGGACAGATTTTCACATCTGAGCTTTCTCCACGTAACGATCGCTCTTAAATTAAAGATAAATTAAATAACCAGAGGCATTCCCTGCCAATTAAGTCGGTAAGCGATTAACAATTCGGAATCGGGTCGTCGGATATAATTAAATAAGATTCCGAGTTTCCGCATTAAGTAGGTAAGCGACCGGCATAAAAAGCCTCGAGGTCGGCAAGCTCGACACCGAAGCGAGTAAAGTCTCTCTTGAATCTCGTAAATCTCGCTCGATTCAGCGCCCCGGAGCCTCTAGCGACATAATTTCCCGAGTAGAGAAAAAAAAAGGAAAACCGACCAGGACCTCGCCAAGGGAATCCGAGTTTCTTTAGAGAAGCGCAGTCGATCCCCGTCTCCACCAAAAGGCCCGGCTTAATTGGCAAGGGCGTGGGGCCGAAAAACCAGGGCGCTTACTCGGTCTCTTCAGAGTCTCCAGCGAGGCTGCAAAAGAAAGAGGGGCCGGAGAGAAAAAGTCTAGGAAAAGGGGAGAGAGGGAGAAAAAAAAATGTGAAAAGGAGGGAAAACGGCACTTTAGGCGCGAGCCGTGCCGAATGCGCCCCGAGAGCAGCTTCCTCTGGGAAAACAGGAAGAAAGAGGCTGGAGAGCCCGAAGACGAGTGGACCGAGCCTTGGAGGAGAGGATCGTTGGCCCCTTTCCCAGGAAGGTGGACGCTGAAAGGGCCGAGGAACTAACTCCAGGAAGAAATGGCCCGAGACGAGGGGAAGAGGTCGCGGAAAGACAAATAGAACGAGAGGAGAGTCTTCGTCCGTGAAGACTGACCTGGAAGAAAGAGTCGAATCTTACGAGGTCCTACTTTTTGTAAATTCAGGGGTAGAACCACGAGGGTGTCCTTAACGGGAAATTCGAGAGATTAACGAGGGATACTCTGGAGGCGAATTTTTGAAAATAGCCCGATCCCAAAATGCATAACGCATCCTTACAAGAGAGGTTGAATATAAGTAAACGAAGAAAGCGTTTCATCGCGTAGAATGACACCTTGAAGTGACGTTAAGCCAGAGTGCTGCTTCCTGAAAGAGGTCATCAAAGCTCCTGAGCGACCCTGAGCTCACGTACTGCAAAGTGCCTTTTTAGGATCTAAGGGTAATGCGACGTTTCACGTCGAACCATAACCTAGACTTACTGGACAAAATCGGATACGCTTAGAAAACTATTTCCTAGAAAAGTTAATGAAATGCTCATAAGCCAAGGGTTAAAAAAAAAAAGGGAGGTTGAAATTTTCTTAGGCACCTTGAACTTCACATCGTTTTAATGACACGTAAAACAGTTTAATCCTCCTCTTCCTCAGGAGCAGCGCCACCACTTCCCTTGCGCAAGTTCTTCCTCTTTACACGACCAGGACGGCCGCCACCGAAGGGCGACTTCAGGGAGAAGTCGATGTGCTTCTGCGAGTCGAGTCGAACGATGAAGGAAGGAATGTTCACTACTTGCTTCCTCACTCTGCAACGAAGGAGAATAAAACATTTGTTTTGCATACTACACAGTAAATTTCTGTATAGAGTAATTTTTACTGGACAGAATTTAATATAATACCAATGGTATAAATGGCCCGGAGAGCATCAAAAATCAGACGTTAAGTGGCAGACATTGTCTGACACTTAAGTGGTCTGTTTGAAATAAAACGATTGATTCGGCTCTAGCAGTTTCAATGGTAGGCGCGAAACGTGAGATTAACATCAAGATACGCCTTGCAGCCAGGTGGATAAACAGTCTTCGTATCTGAAGGAATGAACGTTTATGCTTTAGTTTTGACACATTTGGATCATAGAGTTAATGTAAGAATACTTAGCATCCAGGATCGGTTTCACAAAAAGGGGTGCCAAAATTTTCTCACATTTTTTTCTGATCTGAACGTACAAACACCACTTGTGGTGTAAGTGTAAAAATTCTTATACTAAGCAACTAAAACACTTTTTATGGATGTTAATAACCTATTTCTGTCATTAAGGTATGCAGCGTGCCCTAATCCATATATATATATATTATACAAAATGTGAATGACGTATCTCCTTATACTATTTCCCGATTTAGACACTTTTAAAGAGGTTAGGGAAACATGTATCCTAGAGATGAACTCGAATGACGATGAAATGCATCAACCGAGGATTAATTCTGGAATTACTCTAGCCTCAAAGATTAGAAATCACCTGCAAGGTTCCACAGACGTTTCTTGCCCAATTTTAGAGGCATGGTTTCTGAAATTCGTAAATATCAAAACCTGCTTACCGAATATGCCTCTGACGAATCAGAACTCGTGCATGATGGATAGACTTCGCAAGTCCAAGCTTAAAGACCTGAGTCTGTAGACGTCTCTCCAAGAAGTCTTCGATCTTCAGACCCAGGACGTAATCGAGCTTCATGCGGCTCTCATCCAAGACTCCGATACGAACCAGTCGACGCAATAAAGCATTTCCTATAAGACATTCGTTTTCCTCACTAAACCGTTTAAGAGTGAGATAACATTTCTTATAACATTACATAGGTTCAGATATTTTTTCTCTATCAATGAAATTCAGACAAGAAGTGTCAGAAATATAATTTTATATGGTCATCACGTAGGGATAACAAACAATCAATTAAATCGATGTGTATGTGTATATGTACCTTCGAAGAGACGTTTTGGGTCCTTCTCTTCAAGAGTAAGCAGTTCACGAGCGGCTTTACGAATCTTCGCCAATGTGTACTTCACCCTCCAGACCTCGCGCTTATTACGTAGTCCATACTCCCCAATTATCTTCAACTCCTGATCAAGACGAGCCTTTTCATAAGGTCGCCGCGGAGTAACATAGGTCTTCGAGAAGACCGATGGAATTCTTCCGTTCACCATGGTTGGTGACTTTTACCTACAAGATACAAAATTCCTAAACTTTATCCTCGGTTAAGAAAAGTTAAAAGTAATTAAAATTAATTACTTTAATCACGAATCGAACTCATTTCAATGCTATCCACGAATTTTGTAGGAATAAAGGATAAATTCAATACGCCCTGCACGTGGTTCGTGAAACATAACCTTATCTACCGTAAGTTTTCACAAAATCAGGTAACATGGAACCGAAAAATAAAGTAAATATATAGAACGCATTGCAGGCAGTATCAAATATGATTATGAAAAAATTATTTCTACTTTTACAAGAAAAAAGGAATAGTTTATTGGGAAACTTACCGACGCCAACCAAACGACGAAACAGCCAGGAACGAAATGGCCGACGATCGTATTCGCTGTTTCCGCCTGCATAGGTTACATTCAGATCACACACTAGAGGGGCAACTCGAAACTCGGAACTAACAGAATATGACTGCAGCGCCACTGCACGATAAAAAAAAATAATGCCTTTAACCTGACCGTTCACAATCCTCCACGACCGCATAAATTTTTGTAAAATTATAACGATTTTAGGTTAGGTAAGCATTAAAAGGTACAGAATACCTGTTAAATTCGAAAAAAATGTCATATAATTAAATACATATTAATGTAACATTACTTGTTATAAAGATAAAATGATTATTCTACCTGAGTGTATGTGCATTCACTGTGTGTCTGAACATTACATATTTTTATTAACAATGCAATGATCATTAATTAAAAAGGAGGAAATGCTACTTGATGATAATCAAACCACCTTGGAACTTCCACGTCCTGATAGCGATAAACATACGAGACTGTGTTAATGCATTCGATTGTTATGCTGATTCTGCGCAACCTTCAGAATATGCAATCGTTAGTATTACTAGGAGGTTTACTTCTCTGTCTTGTACTCATGATACAAGTGAAACAAATATATGACAATAATCAAAGGTATAATCGATACCTTGGATATAAACAATTTGTACGTAATACCCAAATTAACTGTGCATTAATATTTTCTATTCCATAAGGTTAATATTAAGAATTTTGTTTAGATGGACGAAATATCGGCTGAATTAAATATTGTAGAGAAAAATGCAAATAAATCATCGGATTATGTCCATCGACTGAACGAAGCCCTATTTCGACATCGAGAGAGGGAGGCAAAGAATATCTCATTAACAAGGACTGTAATACCATGAGAGATTCACGTAAGCATCGGATCACTTTTATGCTAAAAACTGTGAAAACTCTTTATTACTCCATACATATAAACGGTAAATAAAACAGTACACAAAGTATAAAATGTTTCTTAGAGAGCAATAGCCTATAATTAACTGAGTATGTTTAATATTTGCACCACCTAGATAACCCAACAGCATATTTCTAATGCTGTATATATAATCTCATAAATTTGAATGTTTACTTACTACTCCCACCATCTATTCTAATAAAAAATATTGCTTCTGGGAATTCTTAAGTCAGTAATCCATATTATACAACGGCATGCACTGGGCATTATTCTTGTATTCACCCTGTTCTTCAAGAACGCCACCCGGTGCACAAAGCCAGGGATCTCTCGTCTCCTCTTGCCATTTAAATAGTCGTTTTCGGAGACTAGCAAATATATCCTTAAATGATAATAACATATTATACTAAAATGTATTACTTTTTGAACCGTTAATCAGCTAAATTAAATATTTCAACCTTAGATGATGTCTTCTGAGCAATATTACTCAATTCTTCCGGATCATATTTTAAGTCATACAGCTCCCACTCTGGTCTTTGATAATAACTCTTTAAATTCTTATACCAGCGAAGTGGCTGATTTGATTGTGTCCTGTTCAGTAGATCCTAAAAACAAATCCACATGAATAAATATATATGGATAATTCTTTGCAATCTTTTTTTACAGACATTCAGCCACCTGAAAAGTTGGTGATAAGTAAAAGTCCTGATCAATGGGGAATGGCATCTTGTAGTTGATATTATGAATCAACTTGTAATGCTTCGTCCTGATAGCACGCATGGGATAGTACATTGTTACTTCATGATGTGTCTGGCTTAAAAACACAGCGGTATCATCTTCAATTGGTTCTGCAAAGATAGATTACGAAGAAACTGAATTCCTTGCCGAAGAAGAGCAACGTGTACTTATGAGAGACTGCCTTACCTTGAATTAAAAGTGGCAAAAGTGATTTGCCAGTAAGAGGTGGAAATGAGACCTCGTTGTCATCTACGGACAGCTTGGAATATGACACATTGAACCAGTCCAAAAGAGTAGGTACGATGTCGACTAACGATGTCATACTGTATGTCACTTCGTTCCTTCGCTGTTTGTGGTATGGTGAAGAGATCATAAGTGGTTCCGCAATACCTGTATGTATGCAGAGTAATGATCTGTATTAAAGAACATCATAGAATACTCTCACTTTCTAGTTAATTATTCTCACCTGGATCATAGAGATTGGTACGTCCACTTGGAAAAGGTATTCCATTATCAGAAGTGTACATTACGAGTGTATTGTCCTTGAAACCTGCATCTTCTAACTCCTTCAAAACTAATCCGACTCCTATAAATTAAATGACATTGTATTTCATAAAATGTGGAGAGCAAAAGCAGAGAATTTTCAAAATTGTCTCCGTACAACTTCACTGGTAATTAAATGTAATTACTGTAGATTGAAAATTATGTTACCCTGATCCAATCTAGAGATCGTTGTATACTGAGCAGCAATGTCCCTTCTAGCTGCTTCAGTGTCTTGAACGTGATAAGGTACCTTCACTTGTTCCCACTGATAATAAATAGGATTCCAATCGGGGATAGTGCCCATTCCAACATCTCCATTACCAAATTTCTCACAGAAATTACCATATTCAGGATGAGTATGGCCACAACGATGTGGATCATGGAATGCAACGTAAAGGAAGAAAGGCCTAAAAATATTCACTTGATATTCCACGGTCTTAAAAATTCAGAAAAAAGTGATTCTTACTGAGTTCCGTTAGTGGAAAGAAATTCTCTAACGAGATGTTTAATTCTGGTGATGTTACGGCCCACTTGTAAGATGGACTCGTTCTCTTCAGTGTATGAAAAATCAAATGGATATGCATCACCTGGTCCAACATGCTTCTTACCAATTATTCCTGAGAGATAATGTAACAATTAAATTGTAGTCACGTGATTAAGCTAAACATATTTAAATTGATTTCGGTATTTCATTGGAACCTGTTCGAATATTATGTTCTTTCAGTATTTTTGGTAAGCTTCGGGTCTCTTGGAAAGAATTGAAATGATGAATTCCTTGATGCAATCCATACATTCCATTTTGGTGACTCGGAGTTCCAGTTAGAATTGCTGAGCGGCTGAATTCACGAACATTAATTAATAAAATAAAGAGGTTCTCGATTAAGTGTGTAACAAAATAGAGGAAATACTGAATGACATGAAATAAAAGCACTTCACCTGGGCGAGCAACTGCTGACAGAAGTGTAGGCATTGTTGAATAACAAACCCTCTTTAGCCAAGCGGTCCAAATTTGGAGACTGACAAACTTTATTCAAGTAGGATCGCATCTCAAACCCACCATCGTCAGCTGTGAAGTTAAACCAAAAACTGTATTATTCACCCAGCAAATCTTAAACTTATAACTGCGCCATTTAGCGCTATTAATGAAGAATTATTAAGTATTGAATAAAGCGTCTTGAATTTGAAAGAGCACTTTTCAAAAATCGCGCTTAAAGCTCGCCGACTAATGGCGTCGTCTGCTTTCCTCAAAGAAATAAACATGCCCCGTTACCTAGCAACAGAAGAGCGTTCTTGGGCGCCGCCTCCGAGTTTTCGGGAACGACGCATCTCGCGGTGGCCAAAAAACCGGAAAATATGCAATAAAATGTCTTCCAGCTTCTTTCCCGTGACATCTCGCCGTTCCCGGAGTTGCCGCGTGACACGTCCTGCTGGAAATTCCACGTAAATCCAGGACCGTGTCGACAGCGAGCGCGGGCCCTTTCCGCCGCCTAACCTCACTTTCTCTAGCCTCTCTAATCCTTTTTCAAGAAATTCCGTCACACCGTCCAGTTTTTACTCAGTAAAACAGTTTCCAGAATCACCGTTCGATCGTGCTGTAAAATTGAAATCTCCTAATTATTGGGATTCTTCCCTTTCAAGGGAAAAAAATGTCTATTAATAATCGCCGATTGATTTATTAGAGACGTTCCTGGGCGGCCGTGAGCTTGCGCTCCATTCCACTCCAGAGGAGGTGAAAGTTGCATCGACGGACATACGCGGGGACACTTTTTTCAATTTAACGTGAGTTGCAGGTCAGACAATGACCGATTAAATCTGTATTGTTATGTATGGGATGACTGGGATATTTGTGAAAGCAGTACTCATTTTTTTTCTCGCTTTTTCAACTAACCGGTAGGGTCGTTACTCCTACAGGTTGCATAGCAGTTTTTAAAGAAACAGCTCCAACTCGACTCGCTTTTAAAGCTTGTAAATGGATTTTTAGAAATATTTTGCAGCTGTTTCTATGTCTGTGGAGAGTTTAATTATTTAAAGAAATGAACTATGAGGAGACGAAGTGTCATCGAGGCCTGGTTAATTTATTGAAAGCAGGGTACCATGGAAGAGTAATTAAATCCACTTGCACGTGATTAAGAATTCACAAGGCGGTGCTCCGCAGAACTCAAGACTCACTTCGCTTGTTCTTCCGCTGTGTAGGAAGCTTTCCAAATTAATTCATCAATCATTTGTTTTTAAAGGTGGATTAAAAAACTAAACATTGAATTTTGTCTCACTGGGTTTCAGTGAATTAGAGATTCAAGTTTTTGGAAATACATATCTGAATATGAACTAATGATTTCCTGTTCTTGCTTTCCAGGCTGTTTCAAAAAACCTTAACGATGGCAAAACGGATTATTTGTTTATTCGACGTCGATGGCACGCTCACGGCTCCTCAACAGGTGGATATTTAAAATATTTAATTCTAAGATAATTAATGTTTCAGCATTGTAGACTTGCACGAACATTAAGGTGTTTCCGTAAAAAGAACTTATTACATTGTACTTAATTTTTCAGGTCATCAAACCAAGCGTAGAGAAATTCTTATTCGAGACCGTGAAGAAGGAGTTCGACTTGGCCATTGTCGGAGGATCGGACTTGACTAAGATCCAAAAGCAATTAGGTGGTGAAAACGTGATAAACAAGTACAAATACGTGTTTGCTGAAAATGGTTTAGTTGCTTTCAAAGATGGCAAGCGATTACGTGGCGAGGTAAAGTATACGCATTGTTTGAAATCATGTTATATGAGAATTTTCCTCATATAACACGAATAATATAAATAAGATGTTCGAGTTTATCGCATTCCACATTTTTTTCTCAGACGATCCAGAGCATAATTGGCGAAGATGCCCTGCAAGATTTCATAAACTTCGTTCTACGATACATCTCCGAACTGAAGTTACCATTTAAACGAGGCACCTTTGTGGAATTTAGAACTGGAATCATAAACATTTCACCGGTTGGACGAAATTGTACTCAGGAGGAGCGCATTCGATTTTACGAATACGATACGGAGCACCTGATCCGTCAGAAGTTTATTCAAGCCATTAAAAAAGAGTTCCCAAATTTGGCATTAACGTACAGCATTGGTTAGTATTTTAACTATTCTTCATTCCTTATATAAATATAGCTGCATCTTGGAAGGAGCATGAGTTAAAAATAAGACTTTCGTGAGATCACGCCTTGTTTCCTTTGCATCATGCTTCCGATAAGCTGATAAGGATTACGCTATCCAGTGATTACAAAGTAATCCTTATTTCTACAGGAGGGCAGATATCTTTCGATGTCTTTCCAAATGGTTGGGACAAAACTTATTGCCTGAGACATATCCAAGGGTACGATGAAATTCACTTCTTCGGTGACAAAGCCCACGAAGGCGGAAACGACTACGAGATTTATGAGAGCGACTTGACGGTCGGTCATCGAGTCGATGATCCTGAAGATACAGTTAATCAGCTCAAAGTTCTAATGACATTAATTAACGAAACCAAAGCGAAAGATCAGCTGAACGTACCGATGCAATGTGTTTAACTCTAAATTCCTTCAATGAAGGCATTCCACTCGTGTGCAGTTTTAATCTTCCATGTGTATCAAAGTTCGTGAAAATCAGTGTAAATAATATAGGAATGTGCATGCTCCGCAGGCATCGTTTCGTAGCCTCAAAGTATTATGTAAATTTAGGGCTAGTATTACATGTTCATTTTACGTTTACCAATGATTGTTAAACCTTTATTTAAACAGTCCTAAATATTTACGAGAGATTTGGTCAGTGTTCAAGAACGGGTTAACGTTAACATAAACATGTTAAATATTCTTGCCATGTTTAATCGAGACCAATTTATGACAAATGTATATTTTGATACACCGTTGGTCACTTTATTCGCCAAGATTGTTTTAACCCAGTTTAAACTGTTTAAACAAATTGAACCACGATCTATATCTCGAGTCCAATTAAATAACTAGAAGTTGGACCAATTTCAAAGTGTTAAGACGATTGAGAGAGCGCACATACTTGAAGTTGTATTTTTAAAAGAATTTAAAGGTAGCCAATTACCGTAATAACTCTTCAAAGTGTTTCTCTGTATAGTATACCTGAATCATGAGTGCAATATAATGGTGTTCACCATATAAATTCTATAAATGTTATCATATTATTAACCGATCGTAGTAATATAACTGTTGTACTCTGTACTGTAAATGGTTGAGGCGATAAAATGCAGAAATCACTGGATAACGTGTTCGTATATATATATTTTTTTAATCAACAATTTCAGACAAATTGCATAACATTTCTGAGCCCTAAATTATTTGCCTGACGTATAACAATATTAGGATTCCTTTCATGGAAGACACGGAGTGACGTAGAAAAATGGATAGCAAAGTAACACATGCCCCTTTCCCTTAACACGTTAATAATAATTCGATATATTGTGTAAATGCGTCAAAAAAGAACTTTCCAAGGTGATCATCGTTTTTCAAAGTGACTGCGTAAACAATAATTCAGGAAAGTTAATTTTTTTAGGTATGTCCGAAGTCAAGTCCTTTGAATCAGATTTACACCAAAATACATCGTTAGTGGAAAGTCTTCAGTTATTTACAAATGCAACACGGAACGTTACTGAACTTAAATCCTAGTTATCATACAAAAAATAGAAATTTGTAAAAGTTCCGTACAAAAGGTTTAAAAAATTGTACGTTGTAGCACTCAACTTATGAAGACGGTACAAAAGACTTTGTGTACAAATTTGTCATACTGCAGGCCAAGATCAAAGCCCAATTTTGCAAAAATTAACTCGAGTTTTCAACTCTTAAAAAAATTGCACATCGCCCTTTCCAATGGCTTTTTTTTCTTCCAAAAACCCCACAAAGCCCAAAATATCAATTTGCGTTTCATAATTGTATAAACTCGAGAATTCACTCATTATCTGTAAAAATATGTATAAACTGTGAAGAGTGAAAAACACTTATAACAATTATCGTACATTTTACGAGCGGATATATCACGCGTGTTAGTAATAAAACGCAAAAAAATTAACAACAAGGTTTCAAGGAAACGACTGTTACACTGTCCTTGAAATTTCCTCGATAAGATATAAATAGGCTCCGAAGAAGTTGCATGCAGAATATATTGTCACACTCCCTACCGTCAAGAAACAGTAAAAAGTACTTGGCATGGTTATTTAACGTTAAACAAACGAAACATTAACACCGATGTTTAACATTAAGAAGACAGAGAACTTAATTCTGCCCTCATCGACGTCGATCAAATCGACGTGTTTTGCTTCACCTTAAGCTACCAAAATGTCTTAGCGTGTAATTTCGTCCTGACGAAAAGAGCGAAGACAACTCGACAGGATAAATATCCCGTTGCCCTTTTTTTATTCCTCTTCAAGTAAATCGGCGCAATTACAGTCCTCTGTAGACAGGGACGCGTTTTGCAGAGAACGCAGCAAGACCTTCGATCCTATCTTTGGTGCCGAGCAGTTGGTCATAACACTTCTGCTCGATTTCGCAGGCATCTTCGAAAGGAACGTCGATGCCTTCTGTTACAGCCACTTTAGCCAGCCTGTAAATCATATAAGTCATACATGTCTTATCAACGTCATTACCACCTTCGTATATTCAGTGAGCAATAATTAGTCTCCTGGTATGTTGTTCCGCTGATAACATTGATACAAGCTCGAAGTAATTATGGAGTCATTAACCTCTGTTAAGTCGTAAGAAGTTCTGGTGACTCACTTGTTAAATCTTAAATGACTCACTTGTTAAACCTCACAAAATAATCTTAATCGTATCTAGAACATTCAGGTGAAAAATAATTACGCACTCAATATTTTTCCCAATTGTATGAAATACTGTTTTAAAAATAGTCATACTAATATTTTATAGAAAGACAAGAAGACTCAAAAGATTTAAAAGGGTCATTCTACCTTAACGATAATGCTCGATTAAAAATGATAACATTAGTGGTAATTAGTCTACATATTTTAGACTAAGAGAATCTCACCTGACACTGACTGGTCCATTTGGTAGAATTTCCCTAGCAATCATAAGGGCCTCCTGGTAAGCAGCATCGCCCTCCTTGTTCTGCGAAACAACCCGATTGACCAAACCAATTTCATGTGCTTGATAGCCGTCTAATATTTTCGCAGTATATATGAGCTCTTTGGCAACGGCTGGTCCGACCAATCTGGGCAATCTCTGCGTCCCACCAGCACCTGGTATAATAGCTAATTTGGTTTCTACGAGTCCCATCTTTGCCTCCGACGAGGCAGTCCTGATATCACAAGCAAGAGCGAGCTCCAGTCCACCACCGAGGGCCACTCCATCGATCGCCGATATAACAGGAGCTGGCAGGGCTTCGACATTGTTCATGAGCTCTCTCAAAGCCGCCACAAAATCAGACACTTCGGCTGCTTCCATCCTGGCTCTCTCGCGCAGATCAGCCCCAGCACAGAAAATCTTCGGGATCAGACTCCGAATGATCAGCACTCTAACTTTGTCGTCTCTTCGAATCGTGGAAACTGCTTCATTTAGCTGCGACAACTGCATCTTGCCAATGGCGTTGCGAGCATCAGGGCGGTTTAATCCCAGCACGGCTATTCCATTGTCCTTTCCATCAAGATACTTAACGACTGCAACCTTTTCCTCTTCCTTGGACCCGAGCATGGTCTGCGTGGCCAACGTTCTCATGGCAACCTTCGCGAGCCCGCAGATCCCAGCACTGGCTTTGAGTTTGGAAGTCAACGATGCCATTCTTCCCAATTACTGCCCGCCGCCGTGACAAGTGTGAACTCTAGCAGGAGAAATGAGGACACTTGGTTGAACTTGCGACCCCTATGAAACGCAAAACATGCAAATGTTAGGAATTCATTAAGAGACTTACATCCTGACAATGCAGTTACATAAAAGGTCGAGGGACTGCTGTCCAAGAAAGCGGTGGAAAGTTTTCACGCCCGGTGGCTTCTTTGATACTTACTTACACACCAGCTCCTACGCAGTCCGTGTCCCTGACTTTCACGGTACGAAAATAAAACTCCGCTCGTCGCCTTTGGACTTCCCGAGTGGGAAACAACCTTCGTTCTGGAGAATGTAGAAGTATGAATGTCTCGCCGGCCTCGCTTGACACTCCTGAAAACGGACTGACCCTGAAAATGTAATTCCGCAAGTCAGTTGGGGGAGGGAAATGGAGTAAAGTCAACCAAAGTCAAACTGGAGTGGACTTTAAACGAGGAACACCCCACAATGCACTTATCGTACTTAACCTCTCGAATGAGCGAAGACCCAACAACTTCGACGGATGTTGGCGGCTCTTCTGGCAGCAACAAGAAATTCCCGCTTGCCAAGGTAAACACGAGACTACTACACGCCAAACTATGTTAATAGCGACTTGTCCTTGTATGTTTGTGTTGAATAATGATTAATGATCAGACACGGTTTTGCCGTCCGTCGTTCAGGTTAGGATGAATTCTCACTACGTCAATAACAGTCGATAAAGCAGCCTGTCTCTGATACAGTTGGAGAATCGGTAATCTAACTTCTAATGGTAAAACAAATAACCTCACTTTAACGGTAAAACAGATAAACCTGATAATTTACCTGTCCGCGATCCAGCTCCCGGGTTGGGCGACGCAGGGCCTGAGTACACTGGACTCCATCGATGGCTTGCACCTGGTCCGCACTGCCCTCTCCGGCCGCGCAGCGTACTAGCGGCGGGAGCAGCGCGGAATTCGAATCGCTCGAGGGGCAGAATGGATTTCCTAAAGAAAATAAATATTTATATACAAAAACAATTAATGAAAATTATTTTAGT